GATGGCTGAGCTCTCCTCACATTGGGTCTCACTCTTTCTGGCAAGTCATCTGTCACGCCCACACACCGATGCCACGGCTCGGCTCTGGTTTTCCTCCCTTCTACTCGACACACTGCTCGCCTCCCACTTTCTCCTCTCTGCAACATTCCCTCCATCACCTCTCCAGCCTCGCCCCCTCTCCCTGTCTTTGCTCTTGTCTGCTTCACCTGCAGTGTTTTTCTGTCCCGGGTGAGTCATTTCATTCCCAACTGCTTCTCCTCCCTCCTCTGCAGCCACTCACATTTTCTCTGGCACGTCTCAATTAGACGCCCTCCTGGTTTTTTTTTTCTTATTTCTGTTTGTCTGCAAATTTTAATTTCTCTCAGCTCGATCCTCTTCTTAATAATAACGCAACATTAAAGCTCCTGTGTTTGTGGATTTTTTTTTGTGAGCTGCACCAATGTTTTTAGCATATAACATCTGTGAAATCATGGCATATGTGCAACAGCTCAGTCAGCCACTGAGGCCTGATGAAGCCACTATACACTCTGCTCAGCAGCAAACTGCTAGTTAGCAGAGCATTTAGCAGCTAAAGAGAGAAATATAGTCCTTTATCGTTCATTTACATTCATCGGGTGGACGCATTGGGTGAATTATCTGGTCAACACGATGGAGCAGCAGTGTTCAGTGTGTGCTGGATGTGTAAATATGTAGTTGTTTGCTAACATGTTCAGTACAACAGCTATTTAAGGTGATCATTTTATTTAATGTCTACAAAGTTCAACCTCTAACTTTAGCATTAAAATGTATGTTTGATGTAAACTGCACAGTATAAACACCAAGTCAGTCGAACGTCAGGGGCATCAATCTGTCCATTTAGGAAGCACAACTGATTGTGAATCAGTTTCACCTGCTTTGGTGCCAATGAAAGTGACAACGGGTGCCATGCAGAGGCAGAAGCAAGACAACCCCCGGAAAAGGGAGTGGTTTTACATGCGGTGGCCACAGACACATGCTCTCCTTATCTTTCATGACTGCTTCTTAAGTTTTGTGTTTTGTGTCCTTGTCACTACTGGGAGCACGAGGCAGCACCTGCAGCCCAGTTGGGTTGCACATGTAGTCCTGTTACTCTAAGATGGTGTGTCTATATGTGGAGTTGCAAGAAGGTTTGCTGTGTCTACCAGCACAGACTGAAGAGCATGACACCAGGAGACCGGCTGTTACACCAGGAGAGCTGGACAGGGCCGCAGAAGGGCAACAACCCAGCATCAGGCCTGGTATCTGCTCCTTTGTGCAAGGAGGAGCAGGAGGAGCACTGGGTGAGCCCTGCAACATGACCTCCAGCAGCTACTGGTGTGCATGTTTCTGACCACACTGTTAGATACAGACTCTGTCAGGGTGGCATGAGGGCCTGATGTCCTTTAATACGATATGTGCTCACAGCCCAGCACCATGCAGCTCAATTGGCGTCGCCAGAAAACACTAGAATTGGCCACTGGTGCTTCGTTCTACATAAACAATAGTAGGTTCACCCTGTGCACATGTGCCAGGCATCCAAGAGTCTGGAGACGCCGCGGTGAATGTTATGCTGCCGGTAACATCTTGGAACATGACCGGTTTGGTGGTGGGTCAGTGATGGTCTGGGGAGGCAGATCCTTGGAGGGCCACACAGACCACCATGTCATAGCCAACGGTGCCCTGACTGCTGTGAGGTACCGGGATGAAATCCTCAGAGCGACTGTCAGACCGTACGCTGGTGCAGTGGGCCCTGGGTTCCTCCTGGTGCAGGACAGCACCTATACAGTGGACATTAGTAAAGGCTTTCAACTCGAATAATTCAAGATCCGATCTGCGATTTAACTGTTCCCTTAATTTTTTTCAGCATTTTATTTTTAGCTCAACCTATGAACCTGTGGATTTGGTTCAGACTGAATTTTTTTTATCCTCCCACTCAATATCAACACAAATTGGATAAATGTACAGTATGATAAATGTGTCTGTAATATCCTCTCTGCGCTTTTATTTTATTTTGCTTTGTACAAATCTGATCTCATCGTCCTCTCAGCACATTTCATGGAGGCCACATTGAGGTCCCTCCTGTCCCTCTGGTCAGGCAGATGGAGGTCTCCAGGAGGTCCCGTGGTCTCAGTAAATCCCTGGCCTGGCAGCTTCTGTATTCCCACCATCCAAAGTGCCACGTTAGAGGTTAACATTGTCACTGCATGGCGCCCCATCCTGTGTGGACACACTTACTCTGTTTGCATGTTGCAAAACTAATGATTTAGGTTTTGAATGAGGAAGATTTTTATATTGTATCTTATCATGAAACAAAACAGTTTCAAACTGTTTCTACCACTACACATTAACCAGCTTCTGTTTTGACTTTCTGATGCTTCATTAGTATTAATTACAGATAAACATAAATTTACTCTCAAACATTTCATCCAGATTTTTTTTCTGCTCATAACATGACTACGTATATACCTTGTTCAGATGGCACAGCGTCCTCTTTTTTTTTTTTTTTTTTTAAATTTTTTTTTTTTTCAGCTAACGTCTTGGTGTCAAGTGGTCTGGGAGAGCCTGACTGTGTCAGGGCCTGTTGCAGGACGATATTTGATACTGGCCCTATATAAGCTGTATTCAGACAGCAGAAATTGCATCACTTGGCTTAAGACAGATTGTTTTTCCTATGCAATTGTGCAGATACGTGACTTTCACAGGATGTTGACAGAGACAGTATCCCACTCTGAATCCAGCCTGGGGCTGTGTCACACTGACCTCTGTATCACAGCAGCTCTGCTTTATCAGACTGTTAGTGAACTGATCTATAGCCACAACACAACAGGCTGCTTCAGCGGTGTCTGCCTGGCCGGAGTGGATTTAGATCGTATCAGTGCTCGTTCACTCCGTGCTTCGTCTGACCTCCATGACACAGCAGCTGTCAGATTTGTAACACAACTACAAACTTCACATAGATGTGATCTAATGTTACCCACAAAAACACGTGCACATTTGCTTGAGCTTGTTCTGCAATGTGAATATTCAACGATACAGTGTATGTAATACCTGATCAAAATACTGTTGCGAAACATTACACACTGGGGGTTTCATCTGTGTTACCTTCATACCTGTGACCACCTGTTCCTCTAATTACCAGTCATGCTCTGTTATTATTAACATGTGCATCCTTCTCATGCCCAAATGAATTTAAAGCTTATTAGTCCAAAATGAAATTTGATTTAACACGTATTAAGTTGTAGAGCTTGATATCCCTCTGGATATGGTTAGCCAAGCTGAACATCAAGACTGGAAGCGGGGGGCAGCAGGTCCCCTTGCTCCGTCTATTGTTCAAAAACATGCACATTAAGCACATATGACTAATACAGCATGTTGTTTAACCACTCTTGAGGTAAAAATGATAGGCTGCAACTGGTTCTCTGTTTACAGGCTCTAAAGCTGGAAACCTGACTTTGACAACGAGACTTGAGGAAGCAGCTTGGACTGTTTTGACCTGTAATTCTCTAACATACGTTGTAACGCTGCTGCATAAATTATTCTGGCCTGTAGCTTAAAATAATCTCAGAGCAGTGATGTGTGAAGAAATACAACAAAGCATGTGCCCCCAACATGAATGTAATGCTATAATTCAAACCTGGGCCCTAAACATGTCCACACCCAGCTGGACAATTTAAGGCGAACAAACTGCAGCGGATGAGGGCAGGAAGCCGAGTGGACAGGCGGGAAAAGTGGAGCAGAAAATTTGGCCCAATCACAGGCACACACACACACACACACGCTGCACTGTGTTTTCATTCCCTGTGGGGACTTGACATTGACTTGCATTCATTTCCTGTAGACTTATCCTTCCCTAACACATAACCACTACTTGCCTGACCCTGACCCTAACCTTAAACCATGTTGCCACCCTAAAAATTCAGTGATTTCAGTGATGGCCGAGTCCCCGCAATGCGTGTGTGTTAACAGGTTTCGTTCCCCATAATGTAAGTAATACAAAGGCACACCCACACAGAGAGAGACAAAAATAACATCTATATCAGCTCTGAACTGAACTGGAAGAAACTGGGGAGCAGAGGCTGCTGGGAGTTGGAAGCTTCCAGCCAGGGGAGGCCAATTTAAGACATTCAAGTAGCTGAAATGACAGATTGGTTGAAGACTTTAGGAGGCAAGATTCTCACATTGTGCTGGTCTGATATTCCCACAGCAGTGAGCTATTTTAGAATGCAGTGCTCTGAACTTTGGCGAGCCTCATGACATCGGAGTCAAAGATGATGCACAAGTATTTTCTCCCACTGTTCCCATCACATATTCTACACTTTCATTTTAGCCTGAATACATGCGTAGAACTGCTAGAGAAATTCAAGACGTGCACCATCAGTGGGAATCGGTGCTGGACCAGTGTCAGAGCTAGCAGCAGGGGTTTCTGTCCATCAGTAGACACTTGAAGTCTACAGCAGCTTCCAGCTGTGTGCCAGTCACTGCATCTGACTCAGAATCAACTGGAGAATTGGCTACATGCAGTAGAGAAATGTAAAACTACATGTCCCATTAAGTCCTGTTATTCTGTCAAGGAGTCACCAATCTGATAAGTTACCCTGGTTCAAAATGGTGGGTTTACTGAGTGGGTGCTGCTGACTGTGGTCAAACTGAAGGAATGCTAGCACATTATTGTAAAACAGCTACAGTTTCATATCAAACTAGTTACTGTGGGATCACGGGAAAGCAAACAAAGTCTATAGCAGCTGATTTTCTGGAGGGCATGCAGACAGCTTGCTGTTTATTTTGGCCTCAGGCTGAACACACATACACAGAGAATGATGCTCAGAAACAAATCCTAAACACACATTTACACAGGCATGAATAAAAGACACACACACACACACACACACACACACACACACTAGTGTTTAGAGGATCAATCATCAAATTGACAGAGTTGGACAAATCTCCTGGGATAGAGATGGTTATTGATCAGCACCACTGTGTGTTCAGCTGCTACTTACGAGTCTGAGGACGCGCTCAGTGTAGATGAAAGCCAGCGAGTTGCTTCGAGGCCGTTTTTACTGAGACGTTTACCACTGAATACAAAATGCCTTCGAACGCTTTGTTGGCTGCAGAGGAAACCAACAGCAGACAAAACAAAACAGAAGTGAAAGGGATTACATTCATCTCTGTGGATTCAGTGGAATTTCAGTCTGAAAACTCCTCCTCTGCTCAGACAGTCACATGACCTCCATGTCTGCAAGCTAACAGAATTTATTTGGATGGAAAACAACTCACCACAAACTGGGTGACTGGGTGGCTTACAGGGACGTTTGCCAGGCTATAGCAGCTGATGTCACCTTGCCACTTGGTTATCTATGGAACGTTTCCCTTCTGTGAGACTAAATTTGTTTTCTCTCATATAAATCATGTCTGGTTTGTTCATCTAAATCACTGATTTTTAATATGAAGCTCTGTGTTCAGGAGCTTAAACCACAATGGAGAAGAGTAAATGGCATTAAGTGTGTGTGTGTGTATAGTGAGAGAGAGAGATTTATAGATAAAGATGCAATATGTGAATCACAATACACACATTTTGAATTCATTAAAACCATTATAAGATGGCTAATCTAAAAAGTTTGATTTACAAAGCTTTTAAAAAGATGATTGGACAGATAAATGATAAGATTTCTTACAAGGTTTTTCTTCATTTTGATTAGATTAATGTAAATTTGACCTTTTGTGGTCATCCACTGTGTGATATTACCGCAGGAGGGCGCCAAAGTCATCAGTGTTAAATGAGCATAGCTTTTCATTTTTGCATATTTTAAAAATAAAATTCCTAAATAACAGTTTCATGTTGGCCACTTAATAAAGTATTGGTTTTTAATAATTTTATTATGTAGACAGAGAATTGAAATCTAATGTGGACTTGCCAGCTACTGGCACAGTGTAAACTGTACGAAACGTAACTGGCCCATGAACGCACTACCCGTCCAGGTCGCGTCTCTTGGGCTCCATGTAAAGCTGGTACATGGGCACACCGCTGTGGTTAAGGTGACCGAAGAAACTTTGTCTGAGGCTGTCAGAGATGGGACTGTGATGACTTCTTCAGACATATGCAGGGTGACACATTGACTTTTGAGTTCTTTGTGATTTGCTTGAAGACACAGCATTGAACTTTAAACATTCCTGAAGGATGTGGCAGCAACAGGGAGACTGAGGCTTTGAGACAGTTTGTACACTTTAGAATCCATATTCGGTCTGAAAACTGTATGTACAGAGATCAAGCTTCGGTCTCTGAAGCTTTGTGATTTCAGGTTAAGAGGGCCTGGTGTGGAAAGTCTATTCTAGTGGTCTCCTTAGTGCACAAAGCATGTAGGGAAGCATGGTTGGTTTGGTTTAGCTACTTCTGCAGAGCCAGAAACCTACAGTGACCTAGATTGCTGTATCTACTGTAAGTGCCCTTGTGTATTAAAACAAGACAGACTTCTGCATTAGGACTGCAGTGAGCACTGCAGAACAAAACCTGCCATGACTTGTAAAACTGAATGAGTGCACTGGGAAATGGAGAACTTTATTAAGAACAAAACAACAGAGCAAGCGCCACAGAAATCCAAGATAAGTGTGGAGCAGGTCAGCGTGCTGGGCTCACAGGGACAGAATAAAAACATAAGCATAAAAGGGCTTAGTGCTGGCCCTGCCCTTGGGTCTTCGCCATTCTGAGCACCTCACAACATGACACGTGTCAAGAAGACCTTCAGAAACCTGACTGTCAGTCATGTCACCTTCATAGTTTTAGACAAATAAAGACACCGGGAAGGTTACAGCTCCGCATCTTCCCTGCAGGTTTCACAACACTGACTTTTAAATTATTTCTGACCTAATTTGCATTATATTTGATAGTTTGTCAATAATGAACCTCCCTTCAGACTCTAGCTCTATAAAGCAATCTAACTTGTCAAGCTCCATCTCTTTACATTTTCCTTAACAGCGAAGGTAAACGCCATTATGTGCACAGCACTAACTGTGACACCTGGATTGACCCAAACAGCATAAGAAGAGATAAGACACAGGAGAACTCTTGAACAAACATGAAGGTAAATATATAACTTGTCTATATGAAGCAGAAGTTCAGTGTTTTGGAGGGTAAACAGGTCGGTACGACACCGAGCGCCTCAGGCTTCCTCTTTATCTTAAACAAATATGAATGCCACAGATTCATATATCATTCTTTATATTAGCTCCTCCTGTTTATTTAGTGTCAGGCAGAGCATATTTGACATTGTATGGTTTTGAGAAACAATAGCTATATCTCCTGTGGTCCTTTATGTTCCACAGACAACACAACTAGAAGCATGTTCAGTAAATGAACATTTCAGATTTTTTCTGTATCTGTTCTCATCATGTGCACCTCGATTCACTCAAAGGCATTCACCCGCACTGTTATTGTTCATGTACAAGCACTTCATGCCACATTTCCAAGTGATGCATCTGTCTCAGGGGAGCTGTTTTAACAGGTAAAGTCATTAGTTTAACTGCCACAGAGGACGTGTGTTCAGTAACGGCAGAAGTACTGTGTTAAACAGGAGGCTCTTCGATCCACACACTTCTAATATCTAATAAAACTGTTTGATTTGGTGTGTGCAAGGCAAAAGAAATCTACAGTAGGAAAAAGCTGGGCTCAGTTTGTCAGACATATCTGAAAATAACTTCATACTCTGGTCTGTTAATTGGTCTTTTTGACCTGAATCACCACCAAACGTCACAATGTCATGTGAACAACAGGCCAAAAACAACATCTTTTTACAATCATGTGACAAAGACCTGAGCAGCAGCTTCTGAGGCAGAGAAAGGAAGCAATAAACCTGCAGTTTCCTCAAACAGCCAAAATGGAGTCAATCCCCATGGATTCTCCTGTTAAAATGCCTGACTTTACAACAGAAATAAACATGTTTACAGCCTGGTACAAAAACAGTTTTGGTCTCTATAGCTAATTTCCCCTTCCATAACAACTGTACAGGGGGTGAATTTTAATATAATTTGCCTGTTTAAATTATGTTAAGGCTAAAGCTTGTGCATGATTAAGGGTGTGGCTGGGCATGTGGCTAGCCGCTAGCTGTCTAGTGAGCTCTGAACAGGCAGAGTGAAATATGGTGATGGCCAGTGGGTATTGTCATGGAGGGTTTGTCCATCTCTTACATACAGTCAATGCAAAGACCTCTAGTGACCATACTGTGACTGTGTTCCACTTGAAGCAAAGAATGAAAGAGAGTGGTGTTGACACCGAGACACATGGTCTGCAAGGCGACGAGGTCAGAGGTGATGGTTTGGTCAACAACACATTAGACTTTGGCTCAGGAAGCTCCTTAAACTTTGGGTTCTTAGAACTGCTCATACAGCCGTTCCAACTTAACCAAGTATTTTCCTTTTAACTCAAACCAGGATCTTCTCCAAAGTCCAACCAAATGAACATTGAAAGTCTCCTTGTTGACAGGCCAAGCTGCCACGATAACGAGATGAACTCAACAGCCGATGAGAAACACCTGAGTATTTTACACTTTAACATCCATGACTCCACAATTTCCATGCATCTCAGCAGCTCTGATTTCAAATCAGTGTTCTGACTGGCAATGGGGGTATGTGAAGGAAAAGATTAGGTTCATAGTATTAACTCCACAAAACCTGATGCAACACTTGACAAGATCTTCCTTTAAAAAGTGATGCAATGTGCTAGACTGTGCTGCAGAGATACACTGCAGCTTTTCCTGGCAAACCTAATCCACTTGACTTTTGCTGCTTGTGGAAGAAAAATGAAACCGTGTTCTCTCTTATTTCTGTTGTGTTGCAGCAGTGAACCATTCACCCTAAAACCAAGCTACGTGCAGTTCTTGAGTTTCACTTTAAAAGATTGCTTTGATTTGTGGTGTTTAGTGTGTTTCAGCTACAGTGTCGGCTTATAGACTGAGTGTGACGAGTGTTAACATGCACATACGCAGCCTCTCAGTGCAACTACAGCCAGCTTTACAAGAATCCACTTTGTTGATGCAGCCTGATTTAATTTAACGCAGTAATGCTCCGCTGTTTGGTGGGCAGCCTGATAGAAAAGCTGTTTGTTGACCTGCCAGAACCATAACACTAAGGGTTGTCTTTTGTCTGTATTGTTTAGTCACAGTCAACCACTATGACTGTTGATTTTGAATTCACAGTGTAAAGGCCATGACTGAAGTTCCTCTGTCTGTTAAAACCTCAGCTTCTTGTTGAAACATGCAAATTCACAGTTTCAGTGGCCTTTGTCTAATTTCACTTTTGATGATGTGCCTGTCAGTTGTGGTATTGAAAATTATTGTTTCACTAAGAGGGTTGATGCTTAAGGGCACTGCACTGGTGGTGAACTGACTTGCATCATTGCCAGCTGTCACACGTCAACATTTCAGGATATGCTGTTAAATTATTTTCCTGGCGTCAACATGTATTAAAAGCATAAAATATTGAAGTACTCACCCGCTTCAGTAGTCCGGCAGGGTATGTGTTACGGGAACCATGTGACATGTGTTGCATGATCAGCCACGACACGCCACCCCCACTGTGACCTTTGGGGTTGATCATTTATAGGCTTGGTTCTCATCTGTCAAGATCGCCTCAGCTCTATGTGCTGCACAAATTGGTCTTTTCTGGCTTCGAATAATCTATCATATGGCCACATACTGTATTATCACCTTTTTCCAATTTCATAGGCCTGTTTCCACACCTAACACACACAGAGAACATGATCATCCCACTGGAAGGGCATTTGTGTCCACCTGATGAATATAAGTGCCATATTAATTCTCTTTTAGCTCAAATTTGGTCTCCACCGCCACCTGTGGAAAAACATGGCCGGTGCTGGACATGGCTGGGAGCAGAGACACTCAACCATACAGTAAATGTGGCAGACAATCTGAACTTTAAGCTAAAAGAGGCTTAAAAGATGTGTATTTAAGGAAAACTCTCAGGCTTGAAAGCAAGTATCGGTATCTGGAGGCCAGAGTATTACGTCTGGACTGTCTCTGTAGAACAGAGTTTGAACAGAAAGAGGAACGAGGGACCTTCTTAAATATTTTATTAGTGAGTGTTCATATGTTTGATGAGGGATTTTCCTTCCTTTCCTGCACTC